TAAAAAGCTGGGAAATACTGGTTTGTAGATACAAGATATCAGGAGCTAAAATCACCCTCCAGGACAAAGGACATGGTAGGATGCTGAAAAGTGGGGCAGACCAACCAGCCCATGAGATGTCACATTCCCACCTCTAATAATAATCCTTCTCTATCGAAGGCAGTTCAGTGGGGACAAAATGGGGTACTGTTTGTGCACCAGAACTCAACATCCAACGACTACAATCCTCTGTTGAAATTCCAAGGCTCACAGGAAGATCTAAGGGTAGAAATTCCCCAGCTGCAAAAGGACTGTCCCAAGCAGAAAGAGCCTGGTTAGAGAACTGGTTTGGGCTGAATTCTTGGATGGAAACAAGAGAAAACATTTGGTCTGAGATGCAAGAAGCCAGGGTGATAGGTGCCACATTGACCTGGGAAAAGAGGTCCCGGGCTTTTGATGGAGATTCCATGAGGAGGTGTTATGGAGGGGAGAAGGGGGAAGAAAGACAGAAACAAGGAGCTAGGTACCTGAATTCTGGGAATGAAACTGAAATTGGAATATATGAAAATGGAAGAAATAGGAAGATCTGATCACAAGATAAGAGAGAATTAGAAGTGAAAATACTGTATCCTGCCCACCCCCACCACCTCCAAAAGAGGACTGGAAAAATAAGAAGGAAGTGAAAATTGTTCCAATTGCCTTCCCATAATCCATACCTAAGATACCCTGAATTTTTTTACAATTTAGAAAAAAATTCATGCTCTGAACTTAAAAGACAGATCTTGGCTGGAAGAAGTAAAATCAAAGTTTTAAATCAATGTTGTGTCTATTTTTCCCTCTCCCATTCTCCCAACATCCCCACTCCCCTTGGAGACCCAGAAACACAGCTCATCAAGATCAAAGAAAAGAGAAAAGATTAATACAAGGACCAGTGAGCAATGTCTGTGAAATGAGACTTTTGGTTAGCCACATACAATTCCTCTTGTATGACAGAATGGTATAAATAAATTCAGTTAAAACACATCCACAGCTTTTGGTTAAGTCTACCACAGGTCCTGGGTAAGTGGGCTGAGATCCTGGTACCCCTGTGAGAAGGCTGATGACTGTCTTGAGAAAGCTATCTTGTGACAGGGTCAGGCAGAGCACAGGACTAGAACTTTCGGTGAAAATGACAGGGGAGAGGAATTCTGGTTCAGTCTAGGGAGGAAAGGTCTTATCAAAGAGGCTGTCTGACAGGGCACTGAATTCCCCTCCCTGAAGGTTTGCAGCAGAATGCAGATGGCCCTCATCAGGTCAGATGCTGGGCAGGCCCAGCACTGGGCAGGTGATTACAGTATCTGCCTCTCCACACTTAGGCAAGCCCTTTGTGCTCAAGGCTTCTGTAGCTTCCCCTTACATATCAAACTGGGGGAATAATCCCTGCCCTCTCTTCCTTACAACAGTGTGGTGACAGAAAAGTGACCCAGCAGCCTGGACACTTCACGTGCCATATAATATATAGCATATATATACATAATATATAGCATATAAGTGCCATATAAATATAGCACAACTCTGTGCACTCACAGGCCTTCTGGGTAAGGTGAGGGCTGCAGACGCATTCTGGGGCCAGATATCCCTCGCAAGGACTGGCACCAGGAATTTGCTGGGCTAAGCTGGGGGAAGTGACATGCCACCCTGAAATCTATACCTTCTAAAGTAGAAGCCTGGGCTGAAAGGTACTGCCCCAAGCCAGCCTCAGATCAGAGAAGGAACAGCTCACCACTGGGCTGGTGAAGGAGGGGGAAAAAAGAAACCAAGTCATAAATATACGATTTTCAGCTTGCAAATGACCTTAGTTATTGCTGCCAACCCCAATGAATGTGAGCTCCAGGTGTTACACAGCTAGTAAAAGGCAAGGAGATGCTAGAAGCCAAGCTTTCTGCCCTGTGCCCCCAGGCCACCATACCCCACTGTCTATCAAAATTCCCAACACATCTCCTTTCTGTTTGTTGTCACTGAGAAAAGCAGGTATCTTGGCATAGGTAAACTGGAGTTCAAGGAAGGAGCAGGAAGGAGGTGAGAAGGTAACTATGAACAGGTCTTTGGAAAGAGAGCCTGCAAAAATATAAAGGGCTAGAGATGGCAGTCCAAAAAAAAACTGTCATGTTCAAGAGCAGGAGAGAATACCAGGATATGGCACAGGAAGAAAAGGCCTAGCATTTACTCCAAGAAATGGAGCTCTGTCTCCTAACCATACACTTGGCCCTTGAGACTTATACTTTCCTCCACCTCTCTTTAATCTGCTACCCCAAAGAGGCATACTTATCACAAGTGTGGAGAGCCCTGAGGACCAGAGTCCCTCAATCTAAGTTCTCCTAGGACCCGTGCACCTTTTCCACCATTTGATGGTCCCAAGTATTGTTTAACAGGAACAAGATGAGACAAATTCAGGGCAGGCTTTTAATTGAGGACATCCAAGGCTTTCGCCAATACACTAATTCAATAAAAGAACTCCTAATTCAGAGTTTTTTTGGATGTACTAATTATACAAGCATTATCAAGCAATGTCAATGGTACTGTTTTCCATGGACACGGCCCTGGATACTTTTCAAAATCTATCATTTCATTTGCTTCCTGTAACAACCTGTGAGGGACCTGTAAAGTCAGTTATCCCCATCTTACAGGTGAACAGAACATGGCAGAGCTTAACCCATATATCTAGGGTTGCACACTAAGAAAGTCAGAGCTAGAACAAAAATTCAACTGATCTCAAACCTGTATTCTGTTCCTCTGCTATCTGCATAAGGCTTCATGGCTTAAACCCCCTTTAGAGGGAGGAGGAAGAAAGACAATTTAGGAAGTTACCTAGACCATCTTCTACCCTCCCCCAAGGCAGTTCTATTCAGTTAGTTCCCCCAAAACACAGCAGCCTGCCTCTGCCTAGGTAATCCATCCTAGAGTATTACTTAGCCCAAAATGTGTTGACTCAGTGTTGGCCCTTATAAATAATCTAATCTCTAATCTAACCTCTCCTCAGAAGCCTAAATTCTTTTCATGTTCTCCTAGGCCTAACTTCACAATTGCATTGCATACAGCCCTTGCAAGGTACTCCTTCTGCCTGGGTAAAGATAGGCTGGGAACAAGTCTGCACTCTAGTAAGAGAGTGAAACAGAGGTGAAGCTTCCTGTGTACCCATCAGGGTAAGGGTTCTCATCAGGCACTTCCTAAATGGCAGTGTCTCCAGATTTGCCCCACTCAACATTTTCTGCACAAAAGCAGCAAGACACCCAGTGGGAAGTGAGACAGGAACCTTACCTTTCTTCTCTCAGCTGCTCCCCTGGAGATCATCAAACCCCCTTCCAGCACTCCATTTCCAAAACTTAAGAATCCCAAATCAGACACACCAAACAAAGTGCAGCTTCTCTCCTCTTATCCAGGTCCAAAGGCCATGGCTGAGTGGACTGAGGGGGAGGAGCCTGGGGGGGAAGGGGTATGTCCACGCCCCTCCCCCCCCACTGCAGGGTTCGGTGTCCCTCCCAGGGGTCTGTTACATTCCTTCATTCAGCTGGCTTATTAAGCCCAGAGTCTGGTGTTGGGCAGATCCCAGGTTCTATCCCATCTCTTGCTCAAGGAAGGGAAGTTATCCACTGTGAGGACTGGCCGGTCTGTCTTCTGCTGGGGTTCATGAGAAGAAACAGGCCATAGAACCGGCATGGCCAGAAGGCTGATTTCAGTGTTAACCTGTGGAATATTTAAACGTTACGACACTTTCTAATCTATTATATACCCAAATGGATTCCTAAGACCAGATCCCTTACCTAAAAAAAATTAGATTCCTTTACCCTGCTCTATCATCAATGGAGACTGTCTTCTAAGAAACACAGAAAAGAACATCCTTCTTCCTTCTCCCTCTTGTCTTATTGCCACACACTAATCTCCTACATCTCCCAAGCTTCTTAGAGTGTTCAGTGTTTTAATCGCCGGGTCAGCTCTCCCAAAATGAACTAAATCCATTCCAGACCTAGATGCTGGCACCTTCCACATACATTCTTTGCTCCTTTCCCTTCACCCTCACCTCCCCCTCTGCTTCCAAAACTGTGCCAGGGATGGAATTCCTAATCTCATCTCAAACTCCTTCCCAGGGCCACTGAGAGAACACTCTCCTGGAAGAGAGGCCTGAGTCCTGCCAGCTGCAGAGTGTTCCAATTTCTCGGTTGGGAAGCCCACTCCGGTCGTCCCCTCTCTTCTAAGTTTACACTTACACACACACACACACACACACACACACACACCACACACCCCTCTTCCTTCCTGTAGGGGCGTGGCGTTCACATGACCCCCCCCCCCCCAAGTTTAACTCCTCCCCCCCTTCTCCTCCGAACCCCGTGCTCCGTGTTCACGGGGAAAGGGAGCGACACTGCGACCCTTCCTAGACTCTAGACTGTGACCCCCAACCCTCTACCACCTGGACGACCCTCACCCCATCTGCGATGGGTCGTTACCTGGATCCTGCCCGCCTGGTCTCAGAAGCCGTGGCCCTCCCAGATCGGAGTCCAGGCCCCAGGTTGGGTCGCGACCAGCGGCCCAGGCCCCACCCCCTCGACCCCCGGCGGCCGGGCCCTCCCCTCGCGCTCCTTTCCTCCCCCGCCCCCATCCACCGCAGCCACTTCCGCCCGTGCTCCGGAAGTGAGTCCGCGGCAGCTGCCACCTCCCTTCATCCCGCCTCATTCTTCCACCCCACCCCGCTTCCCTCCCTCCCGCCCATCACCACCGCCACCACGGGAGCGCGGGACGTGGGTCTGCACTGTTCACAAGACTGAAGACGCGGTGTGGGCAAGACCGGGTCTGGAAGAGAACTGAGCTTGGGGCGAGAGTACAAGAAGGGGCGGGGCAGAGAGTACGGCGGCGAGTGGGAGCGCGCGTCAGTTTGCGCCGCGCGGTAGGAAGAGCGCATGCGTCGCGGCGCCTCGGCGGGTCGCGGGTGTTGACGCTTGGCCGGCCTGGCTGGGTGGGACGTGGGTGGGAAGGGGGTAGGGTAGTTTGGTCCCCGGCCCTCCTCCGATCGCCTAGCAACCGTCTGCGGACCCGGTGCTGCCCGCGGCCCAGGCAGCTCCGCTCTCAGGTTGTGGGTCCTCCCGGCGAGACACAATTCGGAAAGCACCGAGGCCTGTGTTAACCGTTCCTGTGCCGACAGCTATGTAGCAGAACCAAAGGAAAGTTTTTTGTTCATCGCTCTTTCTCGCTGCTTCTCTCGTCCTGGCAGGACGTTTCCTTGGGTCAGAAAAGAGAAAGGAAAGGGTAAGAGTGCTCTAGAATGAATGCCCTCCCCTGCCCCGCGCCTTCTGTACACGTTGTACACGCTGTGCGAAGCACTTTTCAAGTATTAATACGCGCAGTATTAATACTTGGTTACCACTCCCTGAACAGCAGAGAGTCAGCCTGCCGTTACAGGACTGGAAGGTGGTAGAGACGGCCTCCAGCCTCCCAGTCTGTAACACTACCCAGTACTGCCGCTCTCGCGTTGCACCTGAGACCTCTCTCTGAAGAAACCTTTCCACTCCTGCAGTGGACTTGCAAGTCCCAAAATGGCCCCGGCTGCTTTTTTTTTTTTTTTTTTAATGTATTGGCCTGACTTGCTCTTGAGTGCAACTTGAATCCAAGAGGAGCTACTACTCATTTTTGGAGTTCCTATGTCCTCCCCTTAATGACATGTCCTAGAATCTTGCCGTTCATAGTCATGAACGGACTGGCAGCCTCTGTTTTTACCTCCTTTCTGATAACCTAGGTTTCAGTCTTCTGGCCTACCTTATGAGATGTTATGATTTAGAAGAAGGAATATGTATATTTGGTCTTCATTTCATTCCTGGCTCAAAGTTCCTAAAACCCTTGGAATTTCCTGAGTGATATGAACACTAGGAGCATCTTCTGTTCTAATATTTGGTCATTGACTGTGGTTGCATTGGTTCCAAGCTCTTGAACTTGGCACCCTCCCATACCCTAGCCTGTTGTATCTCTTCATCTGGCTGTTCATCTGTATCCTTTATCCTTTAATAAATCGGTGAGTGTAAACAAGTGCTTTCCTGAGTTCTGTGAGCTGCTCTAGCAAATAATCAAATCCAAGGGGAGGAGCCAAGTCAGATAGAAGTTGTGGGTAACTTGGGGACCTGCTACATATGGTTGGTATCTGAAGTGTGGTCAGTCTCATGGAACTGGGGGATCTGATGCTAGCTATCTCCAGGTAGATAGTGTCAGAATTGAGTTAAATTGTGGAATAACCAGCTGGTGTCAGAGAAAATTGCTAGGTTGGGGGGAAAAAAACCCCACATATTTGGTGTCAGACGTTATCAGAAGTGAAGAGTTCTCTAGAATAGGAAAGAAGACATGAAAGGAAAGCCTGGGTTTTTCCTATTACATATATTGGTCTGACTTGCTCAACTCCAAGCTGAATCCAAGAGGAGCTATAACTGATTTTTGGAGTTCACATGTTCCAGAATATTGCCAGGACTGTGGATGGATTTGCAGCCCTCGGTTTTTTCCCTGTTTTTGAAAACTGGAACTAGGCTCCAGTCTTCTGGCATATCTTCTGTTCCCATGATTTCTCCAGATTACTAGCAAGTGACTAATGCATATTTTCAGTACTGGGAACGTAATAATTGCTGAATCAAGAGTCTTGAAATGATTTCTTTGGAAAGATGTCATCATAATATTAGAAACATTCTTCAAATAGAATTTATATTGCTATTACACTCAAACATAACAGGTCCACAAATAAGTTCTTTCCCCAGCTCAAACTTCCATCCAGCTCTCTTTCTTTTTTTTTTTTTTTTAAAGATTTTTATTTATTTGACAGACACAGCGAGAGAGGGAACACAAGCAGGGGGAGTGGGAGAGGGAGAAGCAGGCTTCCTGCTGAGCAGAGAGCCCGATGCGGGGCTTGATCCCAGGACCCTGAGATCATGACCCGAGCCGAAGGCAGACACTTAACGACTGAGCCACCCAGGCGCCCCCAGCTCTCTTTCTCATCTGAATTAATGGCAACTCCACTTCGTTCACTCAGGCCTAAACCTTAAAAGCCATCCTCATACACTTCTTTCACATCCTCTACCCAATTGGGAAATTTTGACTCTGCATTTAAACTATACCTAGTATCCAACACCACAGCATCCCGATAGCAACCTGCATCCCTCACCCAAACAACCAGGTCTCTGCTATACTGCCCACCCCCCCTGCAAAAGCCTAATCTCCATACAACAGCCAAAGGGATCCTGGCATTTCTCCACTTAAAACCACACAGTGGTTGCCCAGTTTACTTGGAGTAAAAAGCCAAATTCCTTACAGAGGCCAACACCAACTAACTGCCCTGCTTATCTCTGACCTGCTGTCCCTCTGCCTACTCTGACTCAGCCACACTGCCTTCGTTGGTTTTCCTTGAACCCATCTCAGGGCGTTGGCACTGGCTGTCCCCTCTGCTTATAAAGCTCTTCTCGATATTTGTCTAATTCACCCCCTCACCTCTTTCAAACCTTTTCTCAAATGTCACCTCAGTCAGGCCTTCCCTGACCAACCCATGTAACCCTCCTCCTCACAGCAGTGCTAGTCTATCTTAATCAGCTCCAGTTTTTCCATAGCACTCACTTACCAACTAACATATTTACTGTGCTTACTACTTATTGTCTGTCTACCCTTGCTAGAATATAAATTCCATGAGGGGAGCCATATTTGGCTACTTGATTCCTTGCTATATCCCAAGTGCCTAACCCTTAGTAGGTGCTCAACAAATATTTGTGGAATAAATGAACTAATAAATGAACAACTATTTTCATGATAGAGTATTCCCACCCAGGCCTTTCTCACATGTAGATACATGATCTGGTATATTTTGCATTCTGACCTTTTTTCTCACCATACCATAGATATTGTTCATATTTGTAAATATTCATAATATGCTTTTTAAAGATACTTAGATTTTTGCATGCTTGTTCCAATAAGTCAAACAATACAGAGTAGCGTCAAGAAAAACTTATCTTCCTTCCTCCTCTAATCCCATCCTGCTGAAGGGGACCACTTTTAAATTTAGTGGATATCCTTCCAAATGTTTTCTAGGCCCCACACATATAAACACATAACAGGTACAGATTTCACATTTCAAAGACAGGTAATGCCTGCATTGTGACTATTTTCTATAACTCAAGTCACTTTTTATTCTAGGCCTTATTACTTCTGATGGTGGAAAAACTAAATCTAATTAATTCAAGGTAAATGCTATCACTTTATGATTTGTTTAGTTATTAATGATCAGTTACAGTTTAATTCCAGTGAATTCAGAATTTATTAATGCCTTTACTTCTATCCTTTTATTTTCACGTTATAAGAGAAATGGACATTCATTACAGAAAACAGTAAACCATAAATAAGCAAAATGAAAAAATTAAAACATCCAGAAATAATCAAATCTTAAAAAACAAAACAACCCAGTGATAGTCAAATCTTAAAACCTTAAATCTTAATCTAATCAAATCTTTAAAAAAAAGCATTTTATTTACCTATTTGTCAGAGAGAGAGAGAGAGGGAGGGAGAGCATAAGCAAGGGAAGCTGCAGGCAGAGGGAGAGGCAGGCTCCCTTGCTGAGCAAGGAGCCCAATGCGGGACTCAATCCGAGGACCCTGGGATCATGATCTGAGCAGAAGGCAGATGCTTAACCACTGAGCCACCCAGGCATCCTGCATGGAACCTGTTTTTATGTCACTTCTGTGAATTGCCTACTTTTATCTTTTATATTCATGTCACTCATTTGCTAGAACTCTTTATAGAATATAAAATAAGGGGTGCCTGGGTAGCTCAGTTGGTTAAGTGACTGCCTTCAGCTCAGGTCATGATCCTGGAGTCCCAGGATCGAGTCCCACATCAGGCTCCCTGCTCAGCAGGGAGTCTGCTTCTCCCTCTGACCCTCCCCCCTCATGCTGTCTCTCAAATAAATAAATCTTTTAAAAAAAGACTATAAAATAAAATATTGTTACTTATGTTGCCAATATTTTCCCAGTTTGTTATTTGCCTTCTAAGTCTGTCTTTGTGCTCATTTGACATTACAGGTGTCAACAGCTGTTAGGCCAGAAGTCTGGTCTTGCTGCCCATGCTCTGCCTTCAGAGTACATTAATACTTAGGAGTAGACTAGAGACTTTTATATCTGTTTTTGCAAATGTGATATAAGGAGTGAATAAGGAGACAAGACCATAGTCTCCACAGAAAAGGCCACAGAATCCCCAGATGAAGGAGGAGGCGTTTGGGGACAATTTGTGTTTTCTGGAGAGCTTTGATACCCAGTGCCATCCTAGATTTTTGGAAATCTCAATTTTAAATGATCTGTTATCCCTATTAGTTATCCCTCTCCATACACACATAATTATCACACCATGATTCTTCTGTCAGGTGAAGATAGTCCTGACCGTGGGCATGTTCTGACTTTGTCTTCTCACTCTCTCTTTGGCCAGGTCGGTATTCTTTCCTAAAACACTCTCCTCCTAAATGTCTTTCTTAGTATCTGATTCATGAGTCACCACACCATTCTCTAAACTCTACTCCCTTCAGCAAATCCAGGAGGTGAGGGTGGACTTTTCTGGAACACTGAACACAGATATCCCCCACTCCCATTTTCATGTTTCTTGTGGCTTTAAAAAAAAAAAAAAGGCAGGAGGGTGGGGAGCGCCAGAAGTTGCACTGCAAATACAGGACTGAAAAGGATGTGACAAGCTCAGACATCACCATAGGCTAAGTGTGAAGCTGGACTTCTTATAGACACATAAGTAATCCTAGTAAAACCCAGAATATTAAGCAGAGACTTGAGATGAAGGTTAGGTGGCAGGTGGAGTACACTGGGGATTTCAATTCAGTCATGGGATGAAAGCTACTTAAGTACACTTAGAATCATAGCACTTTCTTCATTTCATTTCACAGTGAAGGATGCACTGACCCTCTTGTATCTGGTCTTTCCTTATTAAATTGTATTGTTATTTTAATTATTTTAATTTTGAGCATTTCTCCCCAAATGGACTATGAGTTTCTTTAGGGCAGAGACCTGTTTACCTTAAAATACTCATATATTTCTGTATTTGTTTAATTCAGTTAAAACAAATTTGTATAATTTGTTTAATGCCAGCTTGGCTCCTGGCTCCTCTGATTTTTGTGGTGGAAGATTTGGTTACCTTTTCCAACGTGCAGATAATGAAATGTATCCTTCACCCCTGGCAAGGTATTCATGAGGATCAAATGAAACCATGGCTGTGAGAACTCTTAAAACTGCAAACAGCAATGTAAATATCTATGGGGTTTAGAAGTTTACAGATAGCAATCGGAAAGTGCCAGGGTGGTGGTCACATTGAGTTTTCATGGGAGATCACTTAATGCCCTCTCCATCTGAGAACAGAGAAAGCCCTGAGGCCCACCTTCCCCCCTTGCCCCTTTAGGAAGCTACTCCTGTTTCTCACCTGGCCTGTCCCTTTTTCAGGGCTCTCAAAGTATGATTAGGCCATAGTGAAAGCTGGTCTGCTTTTAAACACCTTTCTTTAACAATTATAAGTTCTGACTATCACTGGGTTGTTTTTAAATCTGTGAATTTGCATTTAAACCAAGAGCAGCTTGGGTCAGCATTTCCATAGACCATCTCCATTAGTGAGGGTTGTCCAGTTACCTAGTGAGTAAAACACCTTGAATCCTGATGCCAGGAGGCTGTTTCCCTGTACTGAGCTTCCACAGGTGGTGGGTGTAGCTGGGACAGAGGAGGAGAAGGGGAAGGGAGAAGTCAAGGGAGCACTGTCCAAAATAGAAGTACCTTTTGCCTTCAGAATATATCAGTCACAGGGAAAGAGGAGACTTATTCTCAAGAAAGAATAAAGAAATGTACAAGTAATAAACTGAAGACATTTCAGGAGTACTGAAGAAGTGTTTAGAGGGACAAAAAAAATTAATCTGGAATATCTCCAGGGGTTAAGTGGGTCATCAGCAAGGTCTTAAAGGGTAGGAGAGAGTAACTCCTGGTTTGGGGTCATGCATGCTTTACTTCAAGCAGAACCAAGTTCA